CCCTAAACCCTAAACCCAACCCCGAACCCGTCCGGATCCGCTTCGTACTCCAGGAGGACATGGACCGTCGCCATGCGTCCGTCCCGGCAGGCGGCAGTGAGTGGGGAACCTGGAGCGTATACGTGCTTCCTTAGGGGTTCAGGGCCTATAGGGCCTCCTTAAAGGGCTGGAATTCCCAAGGGTTCAAGTACTCACATAGTATCTACATTGGCCCCAAAGAACCTATATAGGGACAACTTTATAGCCAAAGTTCCTACTATTTGGGTACATGGACCCTTACGCCCTAAACCCTACAGAACCCTCATAGATCCCTTTAAGGAACCCAAAAGAGACCCTAAAGGGACTGTTTGGGCACATGGACCCTTAGGGAAACACGACGTATGATACTAAAGGGCTTCTTGAAGGGTTCCTGTATGGGCTCTATTGGGCTCCTTGGCTGGAAGGGTTTCTTTTGAGGGTTTCTACAGGGGGTTGAGGGATTTTCCTTTAAGGCGTCTATGGTGGTGGAGGGCTTTAGGGCTCTGGGGCTTGAGCTTTTGGGGTTTAGTGCTGAAGGTGTGGGAAGGTGGATCCAAGTCGGCCTGAATAGTCGTGCTGCTCTGAACACCCAGAGGGTCCAGTATCCCTGAAGTAAGGAATATTCCTGAAATCATAACATTCATTGCCGTCTAATACAAGGTAGTATACTCATTAGTTAAATCAAGTGTCGAAGGGTACTGGGCTCTCTTGGCATCAGGGTGCACAGACCCCAGATTGTCATGGAACAAGGGGAGCTGCATCGGGAAAGTGCTAAAACTGACATTTGATAAAGCCACAGCTGCCTATAAACACAAATAAAGCAGACACTACTACAAAGCTGCCTTCGAAGTGACATAGGCGCAGGAACCGAATATTTCAGGCCCAGCCGATATTGCCTTCAACACGGACCCTTCTCGGCCCAAGGTACTGGGATGTCCGCTGCGTGAGTTGGCCAGAGTTCTTGCACGAGTAGATCTTTCTCCTTCGGCGGGTACGGAGGCAATGCAGCAAAACCTATCTGTTCAAGCCCTCCGCCGGATAGACCAACGTGAAACCATATGACTCAGAGAATTCACTACCTAGGGTTACGGGCTTAGGGTACGATCCATACTTAAGCCCTAAACCCGAAACCCTAAACTCCAAACCCTAAACCGTGTAGCGGGCGTTTGAGGCTGTGGTGCAGACAGTCAGACCACTGCAGGCTTCGTGGAGTGGTATTGTCGGATCCGGCTTCGGATCAATGGGGAACCTTGAGTTCCGAAATGGCCTGGTTTAGGGTTTAGGGTTTAGGGTTTAGGGTTTAGGGTTGTAGGGGCCTCAACAGTTGGAACAGGGTTTTGGGGTTCCTTTAAAGGGTTCCGCAGAGGGGTTCTATAAGGGCTACTATAAGTGTTTAGGGTGTAGGGGCCCCAATAATTGAAATAGGGTTTTGGGGGCCTTTATAATGTACATATACTAGGAGCCCCCCAAAAAAATAATCTGAAACACCAGTCCTTATAGACCCCGAACCTGAACCGACACGACTAGCCTTGGGTAAAGGGCGTAGAAGATCGCATCTCGGACTTGAGCGTGCTTAAAAGATCCGAAGAAGTGCTGCAGACGTAAATGCCGCTGCAGGTAAGTCTATAAGTCCCTGCATTGGCGTCATCGTTGCGGACAAAGCCCCTCAAATCCTGCATATGCTGGAAATCCTCAAATCAGCAGTTGTACACCAGGAAGTCTATGGAGCGTATATACATCACTAAAAAAACACTCGAAGCCCCGCTTGATCCCTGCCTGGCCCGTTCTCGCGCTCATGTTCTAGAAGCAGCCGCACCATCTGAATTGAGTTGGGCATTTGAGATATTAGCCCCAACATATACCACTGCTATTCCTGTGGGTTCCTTGTAGAACATTACGAATAGTTTTTGTTTAGGGTTCCTTCTATGATTCTATAAGACTACCAATATTCTTCTTTAGGGGTTCTTTTGTAAGATTACGAACACTATGCTATAGGGTTCCACTGGTATCCTTCATTCAGTCCCACAACCCTCTTCCACTTATGAAGGCCACGACTTGAATCGTTTGCGGGATTTGGTTTAGAGAGGCTTAGACTAAAGTTTAGGGACTCCGGGTTAAGGTTCAGGGTACAGGGCCCAGCGTTCAGGGGCTCGGGGTTCAGAAGTTTAGGGTTTAGGACGTGTCCTGTGCTGTATGGTTATCGCTATGGCAGAAGGAGTTGATCTGTTTTGCCTTGCCGAAATTAGCCCAAAACTGTTGGTATCTGCTTTCGGTTCAACAACAGTGTTACTGTGATTACCATTCAATACTGGCTTGTATATAACTAGTATCCATACAGATAATGATGGGGAAGATGAAGTTTGCTAAATGATACTTCGAGCTACCCGTTGCCGTCTGGGATACGATGACCATGTGTGCTGGTCATCGAAAGATTTAAGATATTGGGTCAAACGACTGCGGTTTCAATAGTATAGAGGCCTGAACAATTAGAATAGATTTTAAGGTCTATAATTATAATAAGGAACCCAATAGTGTAGGTAATAACTAAGGCGTCTATATTAGGCAACCCACACCTGCTTCCTGTCTTGGCCGATGGGGGCCGAAAACTTAGAGTTTAGGGTTGGATCCCCGTTCAGGAGATTTAGCAGTGGCAGTAGCACAGAAACACAATCACTGCCGCAGTCATCATAACGAAGACGGCAACAGCAGCTCACAACGGCAACAATCACACCAATGGCAGTCCCGTCTTCCGGTAATGCACAATGCAAATTACTGCCCTGGCATGGGCTGCGCATGAGCTATACTGGCAGCTCTGAGATTTGTGCCAACACAGTGATAGGCAGAGACCCAGTACAGTAGGGCAGTGTATACCTGGGAATGGTAAAACACCGGTGTCTTTGGTAGAGTCGCCGTATGTCGGCTCCAACGACCTTCTGCAATACTGGTAGCGGCGATAGGCAGTGACATGAAAGATCATCAAACAACACACCGAAACACTATCAACAGTCACAGAATGCAAAAGGGGCACGAGCACATAATTTTAGTTGAGGCTGAGAATGACATTGACACTGGTAACAGAGGTAACAGAGGCAGCATTTGCCATGAGACATGTATACCGATCAGGTTTCATGCTGCAAAGGCGACCTTCTAACTCCCTAAACGTACAACTCGAAAATCCCAAAAGTCCTGAAACCTTGCACGCCCAAAGGAACCCATCTCCGGCCCCGTGCCTCCGCATGGCCACCTGGGCTGTTGAGTATCCCAGCGGAAAAAACGACGACTATGTGTTCTGGGGTTAGCTTAAGGCGGCTACATTTCAATTGGAACCCAGAAGCAAAAAAGCAAAACAACAAACACAAAAAAACACGAAGCCTAATGAAGGGCGTAGCCACTCAGACTCTAAACCGTAAGTCCTAAACCCTACACCTTAATGAATGACCTAGCCACCCAGGGATGCCATAAGCAACGGCGTCTCGTAGCTTGAGTTCCTTCTCTGACAGCTGGCCTGGCCGGCTCGCTGAGATTTAGGGTTTACGGTTTAGGGTTTAGGGTTTAGGGCTCGTTGTTTGGATTTATAAGGTTTAGGGCTTAGGGTTTAGGGCTCGTTGCTTGGATTTAGGGTTTAGGGCTTTGGCTTTAAGGGTGTTTCATGGGTTCTCAAGGTTTAGGATTTCAAGGTGTGCGGGGCGCAGTCTGGGATTCAGGGTGTAGGGTTTAGGGTTTACGGCTGGAGCCAGGTTCACCTGTGCATAATTTGGGTAGTTCTCTGAATTAGGGCCCCGTTGTGGTCCCCAATATAGTACGGCACCCCCAGAAAAAGGACCCTTAAAGGGATCCTAATTTAGAGAACTACCCATATGGCTTTAGACGTTTGTGCTTGTAGGATTTTCCGCAAGAGAGTCACGGTCCGGGGTTCCGGATTTCGAAGTTACAGGGTCGGACACGGCAGCTTCAGGGTTCAGGGTTTAGGGTTTAGGTAGAAGCATGATTTCAAGGCTCTCTAGAACGCCAGCTGCTTTCCTGAAGCCTAGACTCTGCATGAAGAATACGCACCAACAAATCCGTTCGAAGTCAACCTGCTATGTAGTAGGTTTCGGGGTTGTGGGTACTAGAAGTTTTCACTGTGGAGGTAATTTTGGCTCAGCTGAGAACTGAAACCGCTCCGGCCCCAGATACACGACGACAAAACCGCGCGTCACTAGCTGCAAAGCCTAATCGAGCGCAGTCACCCTAGACCCTCAACCCTAGCGTAGGCGCTAGAGCTCCTAAAGAACATATCAAACACAAATCTCTTTTCCGCAGAAACGTAGACCGCAAATCTTACTTTTCCGTGCCCCTGAACTGTAAAGCTACACCGCCAAACCATATACTAAGCCTTGCAGAAAACCTTCTGAAACCTTACAAAACCCTAAATTCCTAATCAAAGCCCACCCCCCAGTTTCTTCCCTACGCCTTGGCTTCAAGCAGCAGCTGCAAAAGTTTGAGTTGTCCTGTTTGCGGAGCGTGGGAACGAGGTTGTCGCGATTTGAGTGTATTTGGGCTCAGGGTTATAAGTTCAGGGTTTTGGATTCTGTGGTACTAGCTGCCTAGCTGTCCGAGCAGCAGAAGAAGGTGATGCTATTGCAAGCCTGCAGCCGGATGCGCCGACAGTCTCGACAATTACTTAGGCTTGGATTTAAGGTGCCACCTCACGACGAAAAAACAGAGGCCGATGGTATCAGGTCTAAGGCAACCTCACTACCACCCTCAAGCATGATAAACATGGTGTCTGTCAGGGATTGAGATGTCCGTTCCTTCCACCCGAAACGTTTCACTCTCATCACCGACACCATAACCCACCAATAGGTTCACTAGTGCCGACATGATGCAAGGTAGGATATCTAAATTGGAAAGTGCTGTTCTCACATTGTGCGTGTGGGTATCTCCCATAGTCTATATAAGGCCTTAACGACTCCAATCGCATGCCATAATTCACACTTGGAAGGCTGAGGAAATACTAACTATGCAACCCCGTATACATCTTTGCATATATACATATACATATAGATACAGAGATAGAAACGAGAGATGAATGCTTGCACATTTACAGCTTTCTGGAAAACAGACAGCTGCAACAATCGGGCCTGCAGTGCATGTATATGTATATGAATTTCTATCTATCGATCCATCCATCCATCTATCGACCTATCTACTTATCTATCTATCTATCTATCTATCGATCTATCTATCTAACGATCTATCAATCTATGAATGTTTGTATCTATCTATCTGTATGTATACCTATCTACATGAGTGAAAGAATGTATATGTACAAACCCAGATATTCATTCACATACATGCATACACACACATACATAGTTACATACATACATACATACATACATACATACATACAGACATACATACATACGCATATATGCATGTGTGTATATATATATATATATATGCGTATGTATGTATGTATGTATGTATGTATGTATGTATGTATGTATGTATGTATGTATGTATGTACGTGTGTATATATGCATGTTCATCCGGTACTTAGGATCCTCTGGGCCGGTCCTGTCTGGCATGCCAAGAAGACGGCGGTCGCGCCACCCTCGTGTGCCACATCCTGCAGGGATGGTTTGAAAAGTTCTCTAGAGTAGGGTCCCTGTTAGGGTTCCCTAAAGGGATCCATAAGGGCTTCTATAAGGGTGCTATCCAGGATCGATTTGGGTAGTTCTCCAGATTAGGGTCCCTTCGGGGGTACTTTTTATATGGGGTGCCGTAATAGTTTGGGGACCTAAACAAGGACCCTAGTTTAGATAGTTAACCAAATATAGTCTCTGGATGCTGTAGGATCCTTGAGCGGGGTCCAACGGGCTTAGGGTTGAGGGGTTTAGGGTTTGGGGTTTAGGGGTTTAGGGTTTAGGGTTTAGGGTTTTAGGGTCGAGGGGTTTAGGGTTTGGGGGTTGAACTTCGTAATCGCCAACCCTGCCTGACACGCCCAAAGGTTCCCTCGGGATCTCCGGCACCCTCCTCTCTTGAGCTATCCTTGCTTTATAAGGATCCGAGTAGGAGAAGCATCGCGTTCAGGATAAAGGTTTGGCGTGGCTCCATTTACCTACTGTTTCGAGGGTGACACTCTCTAGCTACGGAGTCATAACCTTCTGTAGGGTGTGGGGTGAAAGGTCAGGGCAGGGCTTAGGAGTTTGGGGCTTGAGAAGCCGATCAGGTTCTAGGGGTTGTCGGTCGAGGATGAGAACGCGGCATGCGCCGAACTCCCAAAGCCTTGCCCTAGGCTTTTAGTCTAAATCCTGAGTCCTAACTTTGATTCAAACACAAACCCTAAACCCGAAGACCCTAAACCCTAAACCCGAAGACCCCAAGCCTACAAACCCGAACCCGAAACCTTACCTAACGCCTGAACTCTAAGCTGTAAGCCGATTCATTAGGATTTAAGCTCCAAATCCTATTCCGAAATCCTATTCTTTGGGATTTAGGAGCCCCAGTCTTTATTCACGAATGTAGAGTAGAGGTCGGGGTAAACATTGTTCCTTAGGGCTCCTTCTTAGTACTAGTAGAGTTGCAGTATACTATACCCCGAAACCCTATTCGAATTGTTCAGGGCCTAAACCCTAAACTTCAACACTCAACCCTGAGTCAAAGGAAACTACAGGTGGGGAGTTTCGGGTGTATAGGGCTTCTACAAGGCTATAGGGTATATAGACCTTCTATAAGGCTCCTATAACGGTAACTACCCACCTGAAAATGTCCTAGACTGAGCCCCCGTCCGCACGAGCTTCCAGGAGGAGACGGACAATGTCCAGGTGTTTGTGCTTGCAGGCCGCGAGCAAAGGGAAGCGCTCGTCCTTGGGTTTTGTGTTTGAAGCCTCATAACGCTATAAATCCTAAACCCTTAAGCCCCTAAACACTAAACCGCCCTAAACCCTAAATCCTAAACCCCAAAGCCCCTAAACCCTAAATGTGGAAATTTTGGGTTTAGGGTTTTCGGGTCTTGGGTTGCTCGGGGGTCACTGGAATTCGCGCTTACCATAAGTAAAACGGGGTTCTACCCTTCAACTGTCGCGCCCACACCAACACTACTTCTCCAAGTACGTATACCTGAAACCAGGACCTTACATCAGCTCCTACTGTAAGGGTTTCAAGTTAAGCTCCTTCCCTAAACCCTATATCAGGAAACCCTAAAACCCTAAGCCGAAACCCTAAACCACAACATCCCGAAATTGCAACCAGAACCCTACACCCTCAAGGGTTTACAGCGTACTGCTTTAAGGTTTAAACCCTATAAGTAAGAGATCCTAGCATAATGTGCTTCAGGGTTTGGGGGGTGATCCCTGCAAATAGCCTGGCCAACGATCTATCAGAAAGCTGCAGGTCATTATACGGCCTTAATAATCCGAGTATGGGTTTTGAAATGTAATATACGACCTATATAGTTAGGATGAGGAGTAGTATTTCCACGGTTTTCAGGATTCTATAAGAACTAGGCGCGACACCCCTAGGTTGCAAAGACCCTGCAAGTGGGCTTTGCACTTCGGAGCAGTTGTGTATAAAATGCGGGGTTGGGGTGGGATCGTTACGTATAAGATCTATGCTTTGGCGCAAAGCTTATCATCTAGCGACCTCTATGACTAAACTCTGTCTATGATAATAGCTGTTCGGATTTCCTGTGTATCTTGGCCTCAGCTCAGCTCTTAAAACAAAAACTAAAAATAAAGCGGAGTTTATAAGGACTTGGTAAACGGACCTTAAGTGCGGCGCGAAGTACCTTAATAGTCCCTAGTCTGCTTCTACTTCGAAGCAGTTCACTCAGTCCCCAAAGCCTCTCAGTAGTGTAGCCTGAACTACCAACACCTACTTTTTAGTAGTGCCACTCCTAGTCCCTGCAAGTTCTGTACGAAGCTTTATACTAAAATCCACGAAAAAAAGTAGGCTATGGTAGTTTAGGGTAGCAACTATGAGGCTGAGTTAGGTACCCCTAAACCCTAAACCCTAAACCTTGCGATACGGGGGGGCGTAGTCGGCTTTGTCGACCTCTGCACGTGCCGCCAGCAGCAAACGGATCACGTCTGAAGACTTGCGCTGGCACGCCTTCCTGGGGGTTTAGGGTTTAGGGTTTAGGGTTTAGGGATTCTCTTAAGGCTCCCAAATGGTCCCTTTAGGGTCTCTTTTTGGGTTCCTTAAAGGGATCTATAAGGGTTCCATGGGGTTTAGGCCCTAAGGGTCCATGTGCCCAAATAGTAGATACTTTGGGTTTTAGAGTAGTCCCTATATATACTTTGGGGAACATATACTATATGAGTACATGGACCCTTAGAGTAGATTCTCTTAAGGCTCCTAAATCCCAAAACCCCAAACCCCTAATTTTACTCCAAATGGGACCTCACCCATGACCAACCGAGACCCTAAACCCTAAACCTTGAACCCTATGAACCCTAAACCCTAAACCCTGAACTCTAAACGCTAAAAACTCAAGCAAAAAGAACAAACCCACAGGTCGACCCGGAGCCCTCAACCCTAAACCCTCTGATGTAATATGGGGGCCTTAATAATTAGAATGGGTTTTAGGGTATATTCTACTATAATCCTACATAGGAAGGAGCCCCCCAAAACTCTAGTCTAATTATTAAGGCCCCTACATTACCCTAAATACCCACAGTTAAGCACCTGTAAGGGCTCCGTTGAAAGGCGCTTGGGGGTTTCTTGAAACCTGAACCCCCATGCATGGCCCATGATAACTCGAAGCCCCATCTTGTCTAGTATGGTCTTGTGCCATAAGTCTTAAAGTATGAGTTTAGGGTTTAGGGGTTTAGGGTGTAAGGGTTTAGGTTTAGGCCTAGCAGTTCAACCCTGAGTAGAGAACTTGGCTGCCTTCTGAACCCCTCCAAAAAGTTAAGCTTTAGTCTCCTTATTATGGTTCATATAGAGACCCAAAAAGTTAAAGTCCTAAGAGCCAACCAGAAGAACAGCAAGAGAAGGTTTTGGCTTGGAGGGTTGCTGATCTCGCAGAGTGGGGATTTCAGAGAGCAGGGTCTTCATTTTGCAGGCTCGGCTTACAACAGTGTTACAAGGGATTTATATATGGTTTAGGGTTTAGGGTTAGGGTTTAGGGTTTAGGGTTTAGGGTTTACTGGGAGTTTAAATAAGGGTCCCTCTACCCCGTGATTCCACCACTGTTGGGAGGCTGGGTTTATGAACCCGAGAATTGGTTATCCCAGCATTGCCGCAGCTCACATCATGACACAATCAGCACAAAACAGAACATGTCAACAAGGCACAATATGGCACAACGAAATCCACTATTCTGCCCTTGAACCAAAGCTAGACATATCAGAACTAATCCAGCATCGTGAAGACACGCGAGATGAACCGGAATGCTAGATCTTACATCCGCAACCCCACGATAGACCCTTGCTTGTCCCAAAAAGTAAGCTGCAAACCGTGCAAGTCCTGAACCTCAAAATCTAAACCCAACGTTCAACTACAATAATCTACCTTTTTGCTAGCTCTTATTACGAGCCCTACTATGGGATTTATTAGCGACCCTACCAAAATCTACGCTTTGACAATTTAAGTATATAAGCACTAACACAAAAGCAAAGGGTCTGCCAAACATGAAAGACCAATAAATACGCTAAACCCTATAACCCCCCCCAAACCCCGGCACCCCTATAAATCCCTGAACCCCTACACCCTAAACCCTATAAACACCCTAAACCCGAAGCCAAGTCGCAGCAAAGGAGTCCCACCACGATCGTTAACCCTGTCCACGTCCGCTCGCGCCTGATAAGGGGGGCCTTAACAAAGCAGGCTTTTGGGGTAGGTTTTTTAGTCTCGTTAGTGTTTAGGGTTTAGGTTTAGGGCTTATCGTTTAGGGTTTCGTCTTAATGAACTTTAAACAGGGGCTATAAGGGGAGACTGTTGCTGAATATTCCGACCTCTCTGTGAGTAACTAGGGTTTTGGGCTCAGCGGTGAGGATCTGTGGCTCTGGGCATAAACCCTGAGGGTCCAACCAATACCCTAAACCCTGAAGCCTAAACCCTAAACCCTAAACCCTAAACCCCTAACCCGCAAACCCTAAACCCTAAACCCGAAATTCAAAGCCTGAACTTTGAAGCGCTTCCAAGTCCTACGGTTGATGATATACATCCTGCATTACCCAGGTCCTGAAACCAAACATTCATATACTCCCAAGAAGACTAGCCTGACTGATATCCTAACTGCTATCGTAAGTCCAACTATGGGTAATGCGGGCCCATATGCCAGAGGACCTTCCCCAAACCGTGAACGCGAACTCCCCAAACCTTTCGACAGATAGGTTCTAAGGGTTTAGGGTTTAGGGGTTTAAGGGTTTACGGTAGACCTTTTCTTATACTTATATATGAGGGGCAGCCAGCCCTGTGAGCGAGAGAAGACGCTCCACGATTTGACGGCATGCGGGTGACATCTATACTGAACTTAGACCCCTAGCAAAAATTATAATTTTAGCTGCTTCTTAGGGTTTATAGTAACCAAAGATTAAAAATTATTTCTAAGTACACCTAAGACATGTTCGCGAAGGTGTGACTGCATCTTCTGTCTGGTGCTTAGTAGGGAATGGGGGTATGGGTTATAGGGACTACTATAGGGGTTCTTAAGGGACTATCATAGGGATCCATTCCCACATTCCCTACTAAGCACCAGACAGTCTTTGCACACAGAAGCACCCGACTCTCGACCCCTTGACCTTCGCAGCCGCCTCAGAACCTTAAACCCAAAGCCTACGTCGCATGACCAATTCGGGACATGATGCCTTCAGCAGAACCTGAAATATATTGAAAAATATCATAGGGGAAGCCCTGTTAAAACACATAGTGTGGGTAATTTTTCCTACCCATTCTACTAACCTTCAGACCCTTTCTATATATACTTTGGCCTTAAAGTAGTCCCTATATTATAGGTACTTTGGATTACGAAAACTACAGAACCCTGAAGGTCCATGTACTCATGTAGTATGTACATTGGCCCCAAAGTACCTATGTAGGGACTACTGTAAGGCCAATCTACATACTATTTGGGTACATGGACCCTCAGAAGAAAATATGGATCTTCATTGAAATGCACTTGTCACAAAAAGCAAAAAAATGGATTTTTCATCGGAAAAGCACTAAAGCTGTCCCAAAAGGCATAGGAGAAGGAAGCCCGGTCAAAACCCACCCAGAACCAAGGACCCGAACTCCAGACTATGTTTTTAGGCCCTTTACCGGTTTAGCGCCGTTTAGGGTTTCGGGATTTGTATAAACCCTGAACATTAAACCCCTAAATAAACCCTAACCCCTGACCCCTAAACCCTAATTAAACCCTAAACTTACTAAACCCTAAACGCTAAACCCTAAACCCCTAAACCCCTAACCCCGAAACCCCTAAACCCCTAAACCCCTAAACCCTAAACCCTAAACGCCTAAGTCCTAAACCCCTAAAACCTAAACCTCTAAACCCTAAACGCCTAAACCCTAAACCCACGGATGCCTGAAGCAGAATGCGAACAATCTCGGACCGGCCATCTGAAGCGGCTGCATGCAAGGCGGTCCTGCCCGTTTCCTTGGTGTAGGGGATTAGTTTGAGTTTAGGGTTTAGGGTTTAGAGTTTAGGGTTTAGGGTTTAGGGTTTAGGGCTTAGGGCTTAGGGTTAGGGCTTATAGGGTTTATAGGGTTTATAGGGTTTATAGGGGTTTATAGGGTTTATAGGGCTTATATGGTTTATAGGGTTTAGGGTTTAGGGTTAGGGCTTATAGGGTTTATAGGGTTTATCGGGTTTATAGGGGTTTATAGGGTTTATAGGGTTTAGGGTTAGGGCTTATAGGGTTTATAGGGTTTAGGGTTCAGGGCTGAGGGCTTAGGGGTCAGCGTTAAGGGTGTAGGGTTTAGGGTTTAGGGGATCAGGGGTTTAAGGGTTTTAGATTTAAGGTAAGGGTTACAAGGGGTTGGTTACAGTTCCCGTAAATGTATGGCTATACCCTGCGCCTGACGCCTGAAAACCCCTCAAACCCGAAACCCATGAACCTCAAAAGCCTGAAAGCCTTAAAGCATAAACCCCACTTTGACCAAAATTCCGATGACCCATAAAAACCTGTAACCCCTTTAAACCGGAAACTCCCCAAAGCCTCAACCCTTTACCCTCAACCCTAAACCCTCAAACCTAAACTCTAAACCCTAAACCCCAAACCCTAAACTCTAAACCCAAACCCTAAAACCGAAACCAAAAAAACAAAAGCGCGGAGGAGGCTCGTCAAGGCGCAAATTCGGGTTTAACGGCCTGGCCGTTTGGAGCTTTCTGGGTTCCTTGAAAGGGTTTAGGGTTTAGGCTTTGGGGATTTTGGGTTTAGGGTTCAGGCTTGAGGGGTTGGAGTTAAGGATTTAGGCCTTAGGGGTTGGGGTTTAGGCCGGTTTAGGCTTTATGGGTTGGGGTTTAGGGTTTAAGGTTAAAGTTTGAGGGCCCAAACCCTACCCCCAAACCCTAAACCCTAAAGTTTTGTTTGTTTCAAGGGCCCTTTTCCAACTGCAAGACAGTATAGAACTTTAGGCTTCAGTGTTTAGGGTTTAGGGGGCTCTTCAGGGTTCCCTCGGGTTCTATAAGGCTTTGGGGCTTAGGCTTAGCCAGGAAGGTTGCAATAAAGCTTCCTTGAAGGGCTCGTTTATAAGGTTCCTATCGATTCGTTAAGGGATTTCTTAGAGCTCTGCATGAGGATTCCTTTTATGGGGTTTGGGTGAGCCCAGAAAGTTGGAATGTGGATATAGGATGATTGGTGCTGAGGTACCGTAGACGTTATCTTTAAGTGCGCGAGGATGCGATGTTTCTAACCCTAAACCCTGAGCCCTTCACAGGATTTCAGGCTTTCCCGTCGTTGTTTTCAGGTTCAGAGTCTGGCGGCTCAGGGTTAAAGATGTCTGCACAAGGCTTAAGGCTAGGATTTTCACATCATGGATAGGGCTTTGTATCCAACTAGTAAACTTTAAACTCACCCTGTAGACATCGTGAATGCGAAGCTGGCCTCAGAATGAATTTTATGCGACAGTGCAAACTTGGACCGTAATCAGGATGACCCCAGCTTGGGTACTTAAGCCCCCCATTGGTCGACTTATGACTGATGATGACTCGATGTTTAAACAATTGGCACTATCCTGACCCGGTACTTTGGACCACCGGGGCTGACTCCTCAGCCCTAAACCCGGTAAACCAAGAAGTTTCCTGCCGCCTCGACAACAGAGACTCGATCTTCTGCAGCTTGTCGGCTTCGATATGACGCCTGGTGCGCATGGTGGAACCCGTAAAGGACCAGCCTGAAGCCCAGGAGTACCCAAACAACCAGAGTAGAACCCAAACTCAAGTCTAGGACGTTTTCTGGTGGGTAGTTACCGTGATAGGAGACTTGTAGAAGAAGGTCTATATACCTTATAGAAGCCTTTTAGAAGCCCAAAATACCCTAAACTCCCCACCTGTAGTTTCCTTTAATCAGGGCCACATACTGTGCCAAGGCCTTACGGATTTAGGGTGGAGGGGATTGCAGGCTTCTGTTTCTACCACGCAGCACTGAACACGGTCTAAAGCCTTAAAGCCACCCAGCGACAAGCCCCCAACGTCGGAACGCCCAAGCGAAAGCTTTCGGCGTCAGAGATTTCAGGGCTGGTTCAAGAGTTCAGGGTTTTGTGCTAGATTCGATGAACATCAGACTCTAAACCGAAAACTGTGCGGGACGCGAGTGGCCGGGGGTAAAAATGCTCCACAGCCGCCAGCCGCACATGATCGTATCAACTCATAGAACACCTTGGAGACAACCATGGTATAGAATGATCCTCGTACACGGTTTCAGTGAATGCGCACATATGTAAATATGAGATCGGGTTCGTTTTCAGCGAACTCAAAAAGAACTTCGAAGGCTCTTGCACAATATTTGTGACTGCATAGTTGGGCTTCCCTCTCAACGTACTAGAAAGGACGTAGAAAGGACGGTTTGGGGGATAGCTGTACTTCATAACATCATAACATGCTTTTGCGAAGAGGGCAACGGTCAAAGGTGCGATGCCATACATAGCAACCCCTTGACTCTTGAATCCTGAACCCAAGCCAGAGAAGACCCGGGTTTAGGGTTTAGGGTTTAGGGCGTTAATGATTCGATATGGAGGATTTAAGGTATATTCCTTAACTGAAGGATGGGATATTGGGCTCTCTCTTTCCCAAAGCCCTAACCCTAAACCCTAAACCCTAAACCCTAAACAGCCTCTGGGCCCGAGACTTCCCAGCAGTGAGGCTGGACTGCCGTGCGGTAGACAGACTTCGGGCCATGGATTCTTTTCTGAAATACACTACTGAGACTGCTAGGAAAGAAGCTCTCCTGGCTAAAGGATGGATCATCTCCAGGGAGCTCGGTGACGTCGCCCTCCTGTTCCGCTTCAATACTGCTGTAAGAATCAAAGCCTTCAAGACTCCCCACCATGGGACGGCTGAGGTGGTCGATCTGGGCTTGGACAACTGCCTGGAGACAGAAGGTCTCATGCGACAGCCTCGTGCAACAGGTGAGACAGTGTGGTTTGACTCGTCGATTTGCGGCCTCAAGATTGTGCCGGGTGAAGTGTACATGGTCATCGGTGGCAGGTTCATCAGGGATAGTGAGGGCGAACGTGTCCTTCGGTTCCCGGCCACTGTGGAAGGTTCTGCACTTGTGCTAATGCCTGCCCGAACCGACAGCATTGCAAGTATCGTTGAGCTTTTTGCTGGGGGGGTCAATGGTTGGACCCGTGCAGCAAGGGCATTGCCAGCAGAGGTGGTGGCCAGAGTTGAGCACGAAGGCATGGCAACCGCTACGTCTTTGCTCAACGATCATACTGCAGTGCTTTTTACGGACAAGGACCCGCAAGCACCCTTTGACTTCTTCTGGGGGGATGTGATGGATCTGAGATGGACGGTAGCTATGCATGGAAAGAACGTTGAGTTCTTCTGTGCAAACCCCCCGGGAAAGGCCTATCTGGCTGCTGATCTGTCCTTGGGTTTCGCGGATGCTCCGGCCACGAGTGGTCTGTGGGGCTTTGTCCTCATATGCCGCCTCACACAGAGGAGAGCAGTTGTCCTGGAGATGCCAGTGGCTTATGGCACCCACAATGACAAGAACACGGTGATAGATCTGATGAGATGGGCTGGTTTTACTGTGGTCTGGGAGGGATACCTGGACCCCTGCCAGATGGTCCCCCTGCATCGGAGGAGGCACTACACTGTTTTCTGGAACTCGGCTGATGCTGGTTCGGTGGGCA